GATAAGCCACATTGTAGAGTTTCAACAAGGATTTCAGCTTTTACAACATAAACTAAGTAAATTGAAGAATTATCTAGGAGAAGATGTGCTATACTTAACATTAACACTGATAAGCCGCATTGTAGAGTTTCAACAAGGATTACAGCTTTTACAACATAAACTAAGTAAATTGAAGAATTATTTAGAGAAGATGTGTAATAAATTTTAGAAGCAGAGACGTTTTTGATGATGTTTACCATCAATGATACAAAAGTACAGAGCTCACATAAAACAAGTTAATTATAATCCTGGCTTGCTGCTTCACACCATACATTCTAGAGTATTTCTACTGTTTGATGCATGTTGCTGATTTTTTAAAGAAAACTGTATAAACGTTTGCTGACTAATTTTAGTATCATCCTTAGCTCACACAATTACACCATTTGTGATCAAGTACGTGACTCCTGACATAACACTCACCACCATCAGGACCTATGTATTAATCAAGAACAATTACAACCTCTTTATCTGACACAACACCACAACCTGAAGATATATACACATACTGATCAAGTGCAATTAGAGAATCCTTATCTCACATTATAACACTCTCTGAGGATCTGTGTACTGATCAATTATAATTACAAACTCAAATTTAATTAACGTTTTAGATAATGGCAGCTAAAATACAAAATAAAAGCAGTAATTGAAATATTAATTCAAAACTAGATATATTTAAACATTTTAATTGTGTATGATTTGTGGTTATGAGATTAAAATTTACAATTAAGTCAGCAAATCAAAGCATGTAGGCTTAGATGTAATGTCTTAACTAGAATATTTAAGTATTGCTAAATCATTCAAAAAGTGGTAAGAAACTGTGTATAGTGTTATAGACTGAACAAACTTTATAGAATAATAATAGTTTTGGTTTTTAGTTTCGATGTTAACAGAATACTCATGTAATTCTGATTTAATTTTTCAATATCTAGGATTTGAAAAGACCATTTGATAAAGCATGGAGAGAATATGAAACAAAAATGTAAGTTTTTCTGTATGCTTGTATTTTGTTAGTTGCTATATTACTGCTTACAGTCATAGTTTCTTCATGAACTTGTGATATCCTAATACATGTAAAACAACAAATCTAACTCTGGATTTATTTGTAGGTATACTGTGTATTTTCAAGTGTATTTTTGGTATGTCAAACATTGTTTCTCCCCAGTTTTCTTCCCTAGATCAAATTGTTTTATCTCA